GTGTTGACTTGTGGATAAATGTCATTAAGACTCTCTTAAGGAGTTTTATCTGGTTTGATTTTTCTCCAGATCTTTGACGCTGGCAATGATTTATTTTTATTTTTCCCTCTCTTTTTTCCTATATTTTTTGAAATATATCCCAAAAATTGCCCCCCAAAAAAATACTAAAACAATTTACATGTCGGATGTAAAATCACATTAACAACCTGTAATGATAATATTTCATTTCTTTAAGGAGGATAGATTTTTTTATTTTAGCATAAACAGACAGCTAAAATGCATTTGTAATTTGATTTTCAGTGAACAAATGTTACTTTTTAATGGATTAAACTGTTAATTAAATATTTCTAAAATTACAATTAACAACAATGTGTGAAAATGATCAGAAAAACGAACAGTGATTCTATTTTTTAAATTGATGTGTTTGTTAAATGAGAGATTTTGTGGCAAAATTTCCAACAAAAATGCACTGTGAATCTGTCCAAGTACAGCTTTTATATAAATATTATAAATTATAATTATTTCTGCATATCTATAAAAGTGTATATTTGTTTATAGATGTATTATATGTCATTTAATTGTTCAGTAAACACTAAAAATCCAAAACAATACACCCGACCTCCTGTTAAATTAGAGCGACGACGTGTGTTTTGATGCCTTCTTGGTTCGTTTCCAGATCTTGGATGACAAGATTTCCGCAGATTTCTACATAGCAGTTCCAGATATTCTGCCGAAGCTCGTGCCGCTGAAGAACAAGCTGAGGAAGAAGTTCCCCAAGAACAAGAGAGGTGACGCCTTCTCGTCCTCGTTGGTCTCCATAAATCACCCTTACATGTTGTTTTGTTGTTTGACTGCTCATCCCTCAGTGCTGCTTTTGTACTTGTCATTTAGCAGCAGTCGGATCCACTCAGCTCAGCGGCTGCCACAGAGTGTCGAAGCTGTGAAAACATCAGATCTGATGATGTGTTTGTGTGTTCCCGTCGCAGGTACGGTCGGCATCAACATCCCCAAGATGCTGGAGCTGTTCAAGGTGGGCCACGAGTACCTGGTGGAGAGCGACTGCTACGTCCGGACGCAGATCGCGACGGTAAAAGATCCGACTGCAGCTGATCACAGCGATATCTGGAGCACAACTTCTCCTCAGCAGCACCAAGTTTCCAGCGCTCAGGGAGGAGCCGGGTTTAAATCTTGCAGCGCTCGACAAAAAAAAATACATTTAAAAAAATCCTGATTAAAAAAGCATAAGTTTGTTTTCCCAAAAGGAAGCGGGGATGTAAAACCGGCACACCCCGAGGATGGATGTGGGAAACGTTGGGATGTGTTTGGGCACGAAATACATTTTAAATCAGCTTGAACATTTTTTTTTGGGGGGGGGGGGCCCTGTGCGAGTGCTGCTACCGCTGAGCTTTACAGAGGCAAACTGCAGAACTTGGTTTTTATAGTTTACACGATGCAGCAGAAACCTCCTCATCGTTTAGTTTGATTATTTACTGCAGCTCCCTGTTTGAGGCAGAACATCACCACTGGAGTTGTGTTTACTCACGTAGGAAAAAGAAAAAGAAAATCAGAGGTCAGATAAGTAAATCCTCAGCAGAATACCTACAAATTGATCTGGATGCTGTCAGTTTAATTTCAAAGCTGCATTTTCAGAAGATGAAAACACCTCTGGACACAATATTCATATTAATTATAAAACACAAACACTTTAAAGATGTACAGAAATAATTATTTTAAATGATTAGACTTAGATAAAAGCTGTATTTTGACAGATTAACAGTCTCAATGACATCAGACGCATTTTTCTTTTCTTTTTTTAAACATTTTTGTTGAAAATCATTCAAGAAAGTCAAACAAACACATCCATGTCAAATTAAACAACTGATATTTATTTTCCTGTTTTGCAGATTTTTCTCGTTTTAAAGTCCTTATAAGTTTTGTTTATACATGAAAATATCACTAAATTACATTAAATATACAGTCAGCTTTAAAGTCTAATGTAAAGTACCACTAGAAAAAGCTACAAACAATAACATTTCATTTTTATTAACAGTTGAAATACGTTTGTAGTTTAAAACTCATTTTCTTTAACAGATGAAACAGTTAAAGTCAAGTTTAATATGATAAATATGCGTCTAAAATGACATATAATACATGAAAATTGGCAGAAAAGAAGTGTTGATTTTGTAATTTTATGAAGATTTGTTTGCCAAATGAGACGTCTTATTAGATCAAAGACATTTTCACAATAAAAATGTTGAATAAATGCATTTTTTTCTATTAGTGTGAGATATTAGTAATCTGTCAAAATACAGTTTTATCATCATTATATAATTTGTTATTCTTTCTATATATCTATAAATCTACATTAGTGTACAGAGGTATATGCTGTATTTGTATTTAGATATGTTATTAATTATATGTAATTTTATTGTTTGAAATACAAGAAAAAATTACAAAAAATATGCTGTGAAAATTTACACGTCTAATGTAAAATAACTTTAAAAAAAACAAACTGATGATTAAATTAAATTAAATTTATTTCAATCAGATTTTTTTAAGATTATATTATATTTTACATAAGTTGATCGTAGCTTTACAAATATGTCTTAAAATGGATTAAACTGTTAAGTTGCATTTTATTACTGGGAATATATTTTTAATGTTAAAATTAACATCAATTTGTGAAAATGAACAAGAATAAAAGTATTGCTTCTTTGATTTGACGTAGAAGTGTTTGTTAAATGAGAGATTTTCTGGTGTAATTTTTAACAAAAATGTTTAAAAAAAAATTGCATCTAATATCATTCAGCTCTGTTAATCTGTCAAAATAGAGTTTCTATCTAAATATATATTATTTAGAATTATACATGTACATCTGTAGAGCTACATTTGTTTCTAGATATATTCAATGTAATTTAATTGCGTTTAAAATGTAAAAATCCTTCAATAAATGTCAAAAAGTGACAAACATCACTAATATAATCTGGGTTAGCACTGGTGTTCTGTTGAAATACGTTTTTATCATTAAATAAATCATCTGTAATCATGACTAAATATCTATTTTGAGCGGTTTTTGTTAGTTTGTAGACATATTATAGATTATATTACACAATAAAAACCCAAAAGGGTGAGTAAATGTTTTCTGAATATGTGAAATGGTCGATAAAGCTCCTCCAGGTCTCCGTCATGGTGCAGCTTTATGAGCTACACAACAACAAGGAGGCAGCTGTTGGATCTGGTTGCACAAGTTTGGTTATTTTCTGTTATTTTAAAGTGTTTTTGACACCAAAGCTGCTGGAGTTTCATCATTTTCATGTAATTATCTGTTTCTGCAGTGTGTCTGTTTTGTCTGTTTAAAGCGGTGAGACTTCATTTCATGCCGTCTTCTGTCCTCCGTGCAGCTCAACATGCCCAGCGACCACATCTTCTCCAACCTGCAGACCGTCCTGGCCGACGTCTGCACGCACCGACCTGCTGACATGGGTACGTTCCATAACGCCAATGTTCACCACAGAATCTGCTGCGAGCTGCTCCAACAGCCAGAGCAGCGCCGCGTAGATTGATTTTTATTTGCTCCAACGGTTGTCGGAGAGGAAAAAAGTTTTCATAGGACGCCAGCTCTGGTTGGTTCAGTTTAAAGCTACTGAGTTTGTGGCAGCTGTGGGAGGTTTCCAGGTTTACTGCTGCACGTGCTCAGTCAGTGAAAGTAGGAAGTCCAGCTCTCTACAGACTCTGTTTTATTGTTAAAAAGCTGCAGGAGTCAGCAGCCGGTCAGCCTTCAGATGGATCAAGAGAACATTTAACAGGTTGTTTTACTGACATGAAAAACAAAGAATTGAATCATCATCCTGGATGTTTATTATTAATAATAATGATTAATATTCTATGATAATCAAACCCGACTCCTTCTGTCCCTTTAGCTTCATTTGGTTTCCCGTGGTTACGTTAATGTAAAATAATTAATTTACATTCGATTTAAATGGAAATTTAGATTCACATTTGTCTGATGTAAGAAAAAAGTTTAAACTGCTAAATCACAGAAACCACATTTTTTACCATTTTTAAATTCTTAATAAACGTAATTTGTCTTTTACTAACGGGGAAATATCTGTAAAATAGTATTAATCTGTTTGGAGACAAATAAAAATCAAACAACTGCTTATAAAAGTGCAGATGTGATGTACAGTTTGACCTCCTTATTTAATTAGTTTGTTCTTGTTTTACATTCGATGTGTAAATTATTCATGTATCTGTAATTTAACATAACAAGGAAAATAACATTAAAAAAGTATTTGAAAATGTTCAGTTTGTAAAATACAAACATTTTCTATTACATAATGGTTCATTTTTCATAAAATAATACTTTTGTCCACTTTAAATACAGTTTTTAAAAAGTGTAATTTTATGATCAAATGTTGTAAAAGAACAAATTAGCTTTAAAAAAAAAAAAAAAAGGTATTTGCATGTTTTGAACATTATTTACAGTTTTGGCCAAAATGGTTAAAATGTAAACTACGTTTTATTTTTTGTTGTTGTTTTTTTTCTCTCAGTGATTTAATTATAATCACCTGTAATTTAACAAAACAGGTAAAATTCAATTTGATCATACATATTTTTCTTTTAATTAATGGCAAATAAATGTACAATTTTTCAAAAGTTTACATGCAAGCATAAAAGAGGAAATTACATTAATAAAAATATAGGTTTTTTGTTTGTTTGTTTGCTTTTTTACAATTAACATGTAAATTAAGACTTTTTCACTCATTATTTATAATTTACCAAAACAGAGAAAATACCTGTAAAATATCAATAAATTGTTCAACACTTAAAAACTCTTAAAAATATATGATGTCTTCAGTGAAGGTGGTTTTAAACTTGAGGTTAAAGCCAAAACTGATCAAGTAAAAGGTCTCGATCGGCCCTGATTCTGATCTTCATCACTGTGTCTGGACTTCTCTGGTACAAGTGATCTGTGGTTAATTAAAATAAGAAACTTCAGCTTTAAAACGAGCTCAGCTTTTCTCAGTTATTTCTCCCTCCGCTGCTGTTTTGAACTGCAGCTTTTTCGTTTCTTGTCTGTTTTCTCGGCTCGATAGCGAGACGGTCGTCGGCTAACGGACCCTCGTTAGCGCAAGAGGCCGAAACAATTGGAGAGATAATTGATTCTGAGCTCGCTAAATGAAACGTCGTTAACGGTGGAGCTTTAGCAGCAGCCTGAACTCTGCACATAAAGAACTCTTCCCATTTTATCCTGAATCTCTCCCCTGAGGACTCTCGAGACACTTCGGCAGAAAACTGCATCCTGCTTTTCTTATTACATTTCTTTTTTTCTGCCATTTCTCGTTTTAAAAAGTTGCAGCTTCCACACTGGGTTCATGTTTTTAGTCCCTACTGAGGCTGCTGGTCTGTTTTTAGGCACATTTTCTGATGTTTGCTGCTTTGGTCCAGTTGGCAAGAAGCAAAACTGGTTTCTGTTTTAATTTATGCAGGAAAAAATGAGTTTAACATCCCACTGGGTGACAGTTTGAGTGCAGCTGAATAATAATAATAAT